CCTAAAACTAATGAAGAACGAGAGTATATGGAAAAAGTTCCATATGCTAATGCAGTTGGGAGCTTGATGTATGCAATGGTGTGTACGCATCCTGACATTTCACAAACAGTTGGAGTTGTGAGCAGGTACATGCATGATCATGGAGAAGAACATTGACAAGCTGTGAAATGGATTCTACGGTATCTCCAACAAACCGTGGATGTTGGTTTAGTTTTTGAACAGGATGAAGCACTTGGTCAGTGTGTGGATGGATATACTGATTCCGATTATACTGGTGATTTGGGTAAGCGTCGATCAACTACTGGTATTTGTTTACTCTTCTTAAAGCCCCAGTAAGTTGGAAGTCTACATTGCAATCTACGGTGGCCTTGTCTACTACAGAGGCATAATACATGGTAGTTTCAGAGGCTGTAAAGGAAGCAATTTGGCTTAACGGGTTGATGGAAGACTTGGGAGTTGTTCAAAGCCACATTAATCTCTATTGTGACAGTCAGATCGCTATTCACTTAGCGAAAAATCAAGTCTACCATTCAAGGACTAAGCATATCGACGTGAGGTATCACTTTGTGCGTGAGATCTTTGAAGAATGAAAGATTCTACTTTAGAAAATTGCGACATCAGAAAATCCTGCAGATATGATGACCAAGGTGGTAACAGTAATCAAGTTCAATCATTGTTTGAACTTGATTAACATCCTGAAAGTATGAACACCATCGGGTGTGTGGCGCTTGTGAGCTCAATTAGAAGAACTACAAATTTGGGGAGTTGAAGAAGTTGAGTAGGCTTGGCAATTTCAAGCCAAGGTGGAGGTTTGTTAGATTTGGCTTGAAATTAAGTTGGCAAGTTGAAAATTTCATCTTGGTTGGTGGCCAAACTTTGAACATGAGAATTTCATATTTGGTGGCTAACTTGTACACATTGGAAAATATTTTGGTAGGTGGCCAACTTATTTTTCATGTTTGATCCCTAAAATATTAGGTTATTTATAAGTTTAGTCCTTAAAACTCAACTATAAATAGACCTAAGTATTTCATTAGAAATCATCCCAAAACAAGTTCTCTCTTCCTCTTGTATTCTTCATTCTCCTACTTTGGGAATTCTAAAGAATTCCATTTGTTGTAATATTTGTTGATAGTGAAGTTATCATCCGGTGTGGTGCCCGAGGAGTAGACGATATTCTCGTCTAACCTCGTAAATTTGGTGTGTTCTCTCCTTTATTGTTTTTATTCGGTTTTTTCCATTGTGTTTCAATATTCAATAGTTTGACAGGTTTATCCGCTGTGCAACCTTTGGTGGTTTTGACCTTGACATTTTAGGTCAATTTTGAAACTACGTTCGTGTGAGAAATAACCCGATTTCCCCAACATTCAGGATTATCATGTATTTTTCTCCTGATACCTACCATCCAATCAAAAATCTCCTTTCTTTTAGCAAAATCAAGAAACTTCTTGGGGATTTCAGTCACTCTATCTGGTGAGGTCTGAGAAGAAGATGGCAAAACAACTGCTGGATTAAGCAGATGCAACATCAAAATAAAAGAGACCAACTTGGGGAAATTCATGCTTATTTCTATGAAAGTAAGTTTTACCATTTTTGGCCAAAACAAGCTTAAAGTTTTAACAAAGAAGAGACATTGTGCGTTAACAACGGTTGGTTTGTTTAGAATGTTTACACTAGAGGGGGATTTTGAAGAAATTTGAAGATTATGTAAAATATAAAGTCAGGCTCACTCTATCTATTACAATTTCAATCGGCGCGTTAGGACTTAGGAGCGTAAATGTGATTTTTTTAATATAAATTATTACTTTTTAAGAAAATGACAATACGTATTATATATTAGGGTAAATTATGAATTTAATACTTAAATTATCATTTTTGATCTGCTTTAGTACATAAATTTTTAATTTTTTTCAAAACCATACCTAAACTTAATGCATTCAGTATATAACTATTAATTTTGATTTTTTTAGTACCTAAACTTTTAATTATTTTTAAAAGTTAACGTTAAATTTTGAATGGGATATTAAAATAAAATAAAAACTAAACTTTAGATATGATTTTGAAAAAAATTAAAAGTTTAAATATTAAAACAGATCAAAATTAATAGTTTAAGTGATAAATACATAATTTATCGTATATATTATTAGTGAGAAAATATGAAATGTAAGCAAGTGGGTACGAAGCTAGAACTTCTAGCAGCTCCAATATTCCCACGGACCTTCCTTACCGCATCAGTTGGGAATACATACTGAAGTTCAATCAGGTTCAGCTTGAAAATACTTGTAGTAATAAAAAAGTGATTTTTAACTTCATGAATAATATCCAACATCTAAAAAATATTTAAAATTATAGTTAAAAATTATTTTTTAGTTTAATCTCAAAATTTTAAAAAAAATTTATAAAAAAAAAATTTATAGATGAAATTATATTTTCATCCTTTATTATTTAATTTTAATTTATAACATAATATTTAAAATGAATATTTTATCCTTCTAAAATCCATATTAAAAAAAATTATGTGGTTAAGAAAAAAAACATGCATTAAAATCAGTTGTTTTTATGTCTGGTTTAGTAAGGCTGATGAATTTAGTATCAAGAACCTTTATCCTTCTTTTTGAATGCAAATCTGGGGCTCTCATAGAGATAGCAATTTGAGAATTTTCTCAGTTACATAAATATAAAATTCTCACTCGGACGATATGTGTTAAAAAGCAGAATTAAGCAAAAATGAATTGAGTTTTTGTTTACCTGCAAGTGAACTTTGAGAATCCACCCTGGGAAAAGTTTTTCACTTTGTTTCTAGTGTATTTAAACTTTTAATTGTGCATTCCATCTTAGATCTTGTTGTTCATACAATGGTTAGTTTCGTCTCTTTCCATCAAGTTAGTGTCCAAAGTGGGGAAGAAACTCCTTTCTTCAATGTAGGGCGAACTGCATAAATTCCTCAGAAGTGAATCAAGCTGATTTTAAATAGAACTCTTCTGCAGAAGCCTCTGATAAAGAAGCCATCTGGAAGGAATATACTCATTGAATGTCGTTTGAATTGATGTTAAGTAAAAGTAAAAGTGAATTGGTTCAACCATCAGGATAGATACCGAGACGCTTGGAGCATAGAGTTGCTGGCATGGAGTACATCTCACAATTGCCTGAAGAAATCATCCATCAGATCATTGGTCTCCTACGCTGTAACAAAGATGCAGCTAGAATTAGCATCCTGTCAAAGAGACGGTGAGACATATGGGCATCTTTCTCAAGTTTAGCATTCGATCAACGGAAATTCCTCGGTCAGATGAGAGGTTTACGACCATCTTCTGAAGTGCAACACAGATACAAGCATATGAAGAGATTTTTGAAAATTATGTCGATAAAACCCTGCAAAGACGTGTTGAGCAAAAAGATAGGAGTGTACAGAAATCTGTCCTCCATGTACCTTACTGTAGTTCTCAACTGACTCCTAGCATCGACCAGTGATGATCAGAATCTTTTTATCTTTGGAAAGTGTGCTTTGCAAAGCTCTCTGTGAATGACCAGATGATTGAGAAACTGGTCCATGCCTGCCCTCTGCTTGAGGATTAGGCTCGTCTACGCTACTCGATTAAAAGTTTCGAAGGTTTCAAATCTTCCTAAACTTGAAGGGGTTGATTGCACGCTTGCGCTGGGCTGAATGAAGTTAGCCTTCAAGCACCAAATCTTGAAACATTTTGGTATGTTGCCTGGAGTAAACGTAGGTCCTGCAAAATTGACTTGTCAACATACAACACACTCAAGAGTTTAACCTTGGAAGATGCTAAGTCGTTTCAAAATCATCTGTCTGTTTTCCCTGTCCTTGAGAACTTGGATGTACTGCATTGAAAAAGATTACAATATCAAACAATCAGCTTAAGACACTTGTCTTGAGAGAATGCAAGCAACTAATGGAGGCTAAAATTTATACCCCAAACCTTGTTTCATTCGAGTTCAAATGTTAGAAGCTGATCCCCTTTACGTCATTGAATCCTTCATGGTTAGAAGAAGCCAAACTTTGCTTTGAACCATCAAGGCAAGTTGAACCTCGATTCCACAATGAAGATGATCACTTCCCTTGGTTTTGCAAGTTTGTAGAAATTTCTGAAGTTTGATTGCAATAGGGGTTTGAAACCGGTGGTCCGCTACGATAGCGTAGACTAATGTTTGATTGGATATTATCAGACTATAATTTGGATTTTTTTTCTTTTCTTCCCCTTCTACAATGGTATAGATGCAGTTCTTAGATGTCTTTGAGTCTTTGTTTGGTTGTGGGCTCATTTCATGTTTTTGTCAAAAGAAACTACAATCGCTAAATAAAAACGATGTAAACCTTAGTGGTAAATTCAGTTGATCTATCCGCAACTATCAAACAACTGGATAAACATCCCTTGAAGAATCTTTGAGCGTTCACATGCCCAATGAGAAGGGAATATCACACAAACATCAGCATAACCCTAAAGTCCATATCTTTAAATTAAGCAGAAAACATGTTAAATGAAAGACCATCAATCAGCTAAACAGTTTTCATCCAAATATGCATGCTTACTTTCAGCAGCATTAACCTAATCCATTTGCTTGATGTGCAAGAAAGGTCGAACCGCTTATCAAACCCTCACAAGCATAAATATCTTCTTTAACCACAACCTTAGCTCAAACTATTGAAACACCATGACCATACAGACCAAAACCAAACAGGTAAACCTCTAGCAAAGCATGTGAGGAGATATGATCATCCCACATATCAAATTGTTTCAGGGATTCAGGGGATACTTTGGACACCTAAAATTCACACTAAAGCTAATTTCTACGAGATAAATGCATCTTTTAACATTATAAAAGGTGAACCCAGTTCAGTCAAATTTTCATATGGAATAAGGTGTTTTAAGCAGAGCACTTCGATCCCAAACATCATAGTGGTATTATACATCACAAGATCATTCGAACCAAATCCATCATTTCTCTAACCTCTAGCCTTAATCTCAGCAAGTTGCCACGACAAATCATCCTCATCAACCTTCTCCTGTCTTGGTTGACACAGCATGAGCACCTGCTTGTGGCAACCCAACAGAGACATCCAACCCGTAATCATCAGCAACTTGTAGCATCAAGCTGTTGACCTCACCTTCTGGTGTGGACGATGAAGTAGAACCAGCCATGGCACTCTCCTTAAATTCTGCTTGGACCTCCATATTCACAAACTGCTTCTCGAATTGATCCATTGTCTCAGACATCTTCTGCAAATTGCCTGCAACAAAAAATCGAATTTCATCATACCAACATCGAAATTATGGAATTATGCCGAATTTAAAGTGATTTAGTAATCAAGAAAATATTTGAAAGAACTTATTTTAATCCAATATATGCACAATATTTTTTAATCAGGGCCAATTTAACTCCAAAAGAAATGCCGAAAATTGGTTTTTTTCTGTTCTTCAATTGTATCCTAAAATGTCCTGAATGCGATTTTCTACTAACAGAGATCGGCATAAGCCGATCAAAACTTTAAAAGCAAGATCAATGAGAGAAAAATTACCTGTGTTCAAGGAAGATTCGAGGGACTTGACTATATTAGTCATGGACTTATTAACGGTGGTCATCTTAGCCTGGGTATCGAGCCTGGCAACAACAGCATCGAGCCGGGATGCGAGCTGCAGGCAGTTCATCTGCTCAGTGCGCTTGCGAATGGCATTCTCGGCGTAGATACGAGCTCCGTCCATGTTACCTTTCTCCATCGCCTTCTTTACCCTCAATTTCTCAGATTTCTCTTCCTTCTCGCACTTCCTGGCATGGCGTTGCAGCGATTTAGACGTGAATTTGAGTTCCATGATCTGGTTCAAGATCTTGATGTTGTTTCTCCATCAAGGTGAAACGTCGATTGAAGCTTCTGCGCTTCGTGTTTCTACTACCACCAACCATGCTCCTAACGCCTTCGTCTCAATTGTCCTCCACACCATATGTACTATGTCAGAATGTTGTAAATGATTGCTTATTCTGAAACTCATATTTATGTATGTATTCAACTTTGGTAAGTAACACGGCATTGCATAATTCACCAGACTTTTCAACATATTTGCAGATGGTTTTCTAGTTTCCTATACAACTTTGGTTCTCTAATATGGTGAATAATATTAAAACAGTAGAACCATTCTAATAATTAGAAAATATTCTTGGAAATTTGATTCGAGATTAGAGATAACTTTGTTAAGAGCATATGAAATATTAACTCTTAATAAAATGTTTTTTAATTAAAACTGTGGGTTTAAATTAGAAAATTATTGGGCATTGGGAATAAGTGTATCTCTTTGATTAGGAGTTATAATAAATTAAAAACCAAAAACTTCATCAGTTGATACCAACGACTTTACAAGTAACTTAGAAGTCAATCTTTAACCAACGCAATTTAAAGGTGCCTTCTCTACATTCAACACAATTTATAAAAATGTAGATTAAGACATGATTTATGTAACATCCATTTCCTGTATACCCATGCGTATACGAGGTATAGATGTTACATCACTAATGTTACTGTGTCTAATTCGAAATCTCGTAAATTTTTTTCCATAAAAAACATTTAATTCCATTAAAAAGAAAACATACTTTAACTTAAATCGACAAACAAAAAGAGATGTTCAAATATATCATCATTTTACAACGGTTTAATCTAATTACTGTTCAGAGTGTTTTACTAAACCCTATTACATGTCAACTAAAATATAACAAAAGTAGACAGGTATGTCATATGGTTACTGATGAGGTGACTCGGTCTGGATGTCCAATGATCTCCTTACTTAGTTGTGTTCAACCTACGCGCGAAATAAACACACGTTAAGTATTACTTAGTGAGTCAAATACAAATCGTATAACGAAATCCATAAATATATCATTATCCTTTATTGATCAATTATCAATTCGTTATTTCCATTCATTACCATTTATTTATATTGCACCCGTAGTGCCCTTACGTCATTCATAAACAAATTATGAATTCCGTGCCTTGCACACCTAGTGTCGAAACGGATATTCATCCTCATAGGATGATTTCCGTGAAAAGCACACTTAGTGCCGAAACGGTTATTCCTCCACATAAGATGAATTCCGTGAAATGCACACTTAGTGCCGAAATGGTTATTCATCCACATAGGATGAATTCCGTGAAATGCATACTTAGTGCCGAAACGGTTATTCATCCACATAGGATGAATTCCGTGAAATGCACACTTAGTGCAGAAACGGTTATTCATCCACATAGGATGAATTCCGTGAAATGCACACTTAGTGTCTATTGGGTAATTACCACATACATCTTAAACAATCATACATATATAATTGGCGCAACATATAGTAACACTATTTAAATGCACTCACCTGTCTCGCCTTACTTAGATACCCAAAATGGGAGATAATTACTCCGGAACTTGGCCCTTGCCTTTAGCTTTACTCGACTCGGGAACTTGATTTCGATCTATCCCACGTTCATTAAATACATGCATAATATCAATTGTTAGTGTATTTTCTAACAATTATAACTTAAACATTAATCACAATACTTATTATTAACCTTTTTACAACAATATCAACCCAACTTAAGATTTCTGGCACTTCAGTATCGATACCTATGCCATGATATTGATACTACCCTACTATGGTATCGATACCTATGCCATGATATTGATACTACCCTACTATGGTATCGATACACCCTTCCGGTATCGATACCAAAATTAGCTTCGAAGTGCCTTGGTATCGATATCCCTCACCATGGTATCAATACTACTATGCTAGGGTATTGATACCCCCTTCCGGTATCGATACCAAAATTAGGTTCGATGTTACCTGGTATCGATACCCTCACCATGGTATCAATACCACCTCATCAGTACCGATACTGATTGAATCAGTATCAATACTCCTTGTATAATTCAGTCCAATCTTTGCCTATAGTATCGATACTGTTCTTAGCAGTACCGATACCCCTGCCCAGATTTTCAGTTTTTAACCCGAAATTTACTCAACTTTGGCCAATTTTCCTCTCATTTACCCCTAACAATGCTATGTATCCCTTCTCTACTTAACCATATTAACTTTCCTTCATTTAGATACTTATAACATCTAGAATCTCTCAAATGCCTTTGATTCTTAGAATCATACCAAAAATTCTAACTTGTTTTTAAACTCATTTTAGGCTTCTAATCTTTCCTTTACTTCTTTGACAATTCAATTTTACCAATAACCATCCATAAACCCTCTTATTTCAACATATCACTCAAAAACCCATTTTCTTAAATCTCTAATATCTCATTCATAACTTAGTTTTAATATCATCTAAATCTTCCTTAAGCTTCCATCATATATAAAGCTTCAATAACCAACAAAATTTGAAGAAATAAATATTAAATTAAAAACTTACCTTTGAACTTGGAAGAAACTTGGTTACGGGAAAAAGAGGAAGAAAAGAGAAAGAAGACTTTTATCATGCCTAATCCCCTTTTCCTTCATCTTTTATACCAATTTAGAATATACTTCAGTTTCTCTTTTTTATAAAGGACCAAAATGCCCTCTTACTAATCCATAGTCACAATTTAACCATAACCATTAATCCTAATCATTCTCATCTTTCATTATTTAATAGAATACATCCTCATATTTTTAAATCATTTCAATATAGTCCCTAAATCAGTATTTGGGGCATTGCAATTTATGGATTTCCTTATTATTTCAATTTTCTTGCTTTAGCTAACCTAATCAATTGACAAAGTATATATATCTTATTGACGTGACTCTTCAAATTTAGAACTTATAATAAGAATAATACTTTTTTACTCTTAAATCACTCTATAAATTCTTTGTAACTAAGATATTATTCTACCATTCCCATCATTTCATTTTAATAATAGTTTTTAATACATTTCTCAATCCCTAATAATGTTAAATCATGAGTTATGAGATAATTATTTGAAGATTATAGATAGAAATTTTAGATTTTCAAATGGTGAATTTATAAAGTTTAAGAGAGGAACGAGCTTATAAGATTTCATGTCACGAAAATAATTTTTCAATAAAAATACATAAAAAATTTAAAATATACAATAATTTTGAATTTTTGAGGAGATGAATATTCTACCTATTTTCTAAATCCATCCTTGATAGAAATTGACAAAGATTACTAACTGAGGTAAATAAAGAAAGAGAAACGTTAAGTTTAGAGAAATATGCGATAATTCACCAATTAAACGAGTTAATCATAAAATGTTGATCTATCTATTTATGCCCCTATGGACCACCCATTATAATAAAGTCTATAATGCGATTGACCCGCTTCCCCTTCTTTTCCTTTTCTTTTTGCTTTGAGTTGCATTTTTTTTATAGGTTTGATCAATATTTTTCTTTGATTTTGTTTAATCGAAGATGATACTGATTTTAATGCTGGTTATCGATTGTTGGTTCTATTTTTTGTTTTTCTATTTTTTTAGTTTTTTAATAAGAATAATTATATCTTTATGACACATTTATCTCTGTCTTTGTGGTATGTTTATCTCTACCTTAGTAACATGTATTTTTTGACCGTTTGACGGTTCTTTTATTTATTTTATCTCAGTGTTGGATTTGACGACGCCACGATTAATCAAAATGACACTTATTTGAAATCTTGTTGATCTTTCATGCTATGAACTTTTAGATTGAATTTGGATTCACGATTTTGCGTTCCTGGATAATTACTTACGACGCTCGATTCTGATTTGCGATTCTTGATGGTCTTTCAATTACTTAATTTTCTTTTGTGGTTTGTTTATCGATGTAATCATATTTGTTCAGGTTTTTTTTAATCTTTTGGTTAACCTATTCTATATATAATCCTTATATAATCTAAAATAACTAGTTTTAATGTTATAAGAAAAAATTCAAACTATATATTTAGTTTTATAATAAAAGTCTTAAACTTTTATTATAATTTCAGCTATTTTGACCTTTTTAACAGTACAATCGGTTTCTACTAAAAAAAAAAGAAAAAAGTCTATAATGCGTTTGATAATAAATATTGCGGTGGGACCACCCTTTTGGTTTAACAATGCCATCCGCAAGCTCACGACCCACAATACAAAAATATCAATACCTAATAAACCACGATATGATTATACGCATATATGTTTTTTTTAGATGAAGCACACTAATAGGTCCCTAAACTATATGTTTATATCATTTCAATCACTACACTTTTAAAAGTTATAAAATAATAATTAAATTTATTTAATTGTTATAAAATGATAACCGTGGCTTTAGTTTCCATAAAAAGATGATTGGAATGTTAGAATTTAATATTTTTTTATTAAGTTAAAGTGATTACAAAGTAGTATTTATTCTAAATACTCTCAATTATTTGATAATGAACGCTCAATCACCTTACTGTAGTCGTTGTTGCTCAAACTTGTGATATCTAAAAACATCGACGAAAACAATTCCTTTAAGCCGTAACCTCTAGTTAATATCTCATTTGATTCCTAAATGATAAATAATTTTTTTAATATTTAAGAATATTGTTTCTAAATAAATTAAAAAATCTATAATTTTCATTTTTAAAAAATATATGAAAAATCAATTTTTTTAAAAAAAATTAAAATTAAAAATTTATATTTTAAAAAACTCGTAATTTAAAAACTGGGTAAACTATATGTATAGTCACTAAATAATAGATATGATTCTATTTTGACCATTGAATTATAAATTTTGTCATTTTGGTTACTTAACTATTTAAATGATATCAATTAAGGCAATGACATTTAAAAGTTAATGAAAATGCTCATGCAGCAATTGAGTAAATTCATAGAATTACATATTTGATCTTTATCATTTATATATTTTATCAAATTAATCTTAATTTTAATTAAATAAATTAAATTTCAAATAAAATGATAAGTGATAACACACAAGACTTCATTAAAAACTTTGGCCTCAATGTGAATGACATCCATCGTCTACAAAATGAGGTTCTTACTCCGGCCAAACATGCTCGGATTACGTCTTCTAACGGCCTTGTTTTTTCTTACGGTACATGAAAGCTGAAGACTGTCGGGATGATTTGTGAATCTTGACAAAATTGTTTGAATTTATTAAAAAAATAGAACTTTCGACCTGAAATTCTCATAAAAATTGAAAGGTTAAATTTATTTTTTTTTCTTCAAAAAATTGGATACTTAAGTAGAACTTTTAAAATTGTGTGAAAAAGCTTAATTAATTTTTAAAAATAGATCTTAAATGTCGATCTTCCGAAAAAAGGATGTGCTACAGCTTTTTCATTTTTGTTGTTGCGCAGATGAGAACGAGTGAGTTTTTAATCAACTTGATTTTAATATAATAATAATAGATCTCGATCCTAGCTTGAATATAATTTTATCTATCTCAAATCTGATCCTAAATTTAATTAGAAGTTTAACCCTAATTTTATTAAATTTAACATAATTTTCAATTTTTCACGTATTTTTTCAAGATAAAAGATAATTAAATATAATATTAATTTATTCAATTTAATAATATAAATGTAATACAATATATTTCAATACTATAATTTTAGTGTCTTATATACCAACTTTTACCTTATATTTGAATTAAAATCTAACTGAAGACACATATAGATATATAGATATTTTTGTTGGGGAAGAAACTGAACATCCGAACACAAGCGGAAGCACAATCGATATTATTTCTCTCCTAATAACTCCTATAAAAAACTATGGCAATCACAATACCACAAAATATGTTCTATTACAACACTAATCAATTACAATCAAATGATGCAACCACAACACAAATAAATAGAGACATCGATATTTTTACTTGGAAAACTCCTTTAAATCAAGGGTAAAAATTATGGGACTTTTAGAGTCTGATCAAGAGCTTTGCTATCAACAAATATTCAATTACAAGATCACAAATATTCAATTACAAGATCGCAAAATCAGGCCTACAACAAGCATACAATTCCAACGATGCTAACTACTAGTAGTAATATTTAGCAAAAGAGATAAAAATGGGAGAACATCACAAAAAAACGCAGTCTGCTGTAAAATGGGTATTTTCGATGCTACATGACTCGAATAAAAAAAATCTGACCATACAACGTCAAGAAAATCTTGTTGCCTAGCTGTTGTCCAAAAATCAGTTCAATCGAATCACGGATGAACCTTCGATTGAAGAGTTGATCACTGCTGTACCAAAACTTCAAAAACTAATTTTCTCCCCTATGTTTCTCTCGAACGTGAACTTCCCTTTCTGTCTTCTCTTTCAAAAATTGATATTTTTGATGTAATATGACTCATACACTATACTTGATAAAATAATGAAGCGTTGAACCAACATTGTTCTCCACTAGTATGAATGTGCAATTCTTATTTATAGATTGAACTAACAAACTGAAACAATCATAAATATGCATTGAATACAACAAGAGTGTTTTAATAAGAATTAAGAATTGGAATAATATAACTTCCCAAGTAAATTGCAGAGCGGCCCCAGGGAAGGAGAAGCTTCAGACTTGAAATCCTACACATACAGACAACAATACCAATCATATATATATATGTACACCATTGCATGCTTGAAATGAATATACTTCAAATGATTATGAAGTAGTATAACCAATCTTTTTTTAATTAATATTCAATACATAGATGGTGTATATTATATACAATATATCACCTTATTAATAAAATAAATGATTATTTTTTCTATTTTTCAAAATAATTGAATAATTTTTTTTAAAAATTTCCTATTTTTATTATTAATGAAATATCATGTTGTGTCTATCCGTCAATATACTTTTATCATACTCTAGTGATCTACAGCAAACATTTCATCCAATAGGAGTGACTAAATCTGACTTGAATAGAAAGTGAAGGAATTACTGGATTCGCTTTAGTGGATACTTTGAAGCGTAAAAACTAAATTTATTAAAAATTAGTGCTGAATATGAAAATTGTAAACTTATTAAACAAAAAGTTATTTAATTTTAATTATATTAATATATGAATTTATTTTTATATAATTTTTAAATATTTTTTTAACTTTAAGTAGTCTCACGTTGAGTCCTGGACCACTCAATAAGTCCAAGAATAAAAAAAATTGACTTAATCTAATTAAATCCAAAATATACATTAATGTGCATGTTACAATATTACTAATTAAATCTTGAGTTATAAATCACTGATTAAAAATTACAATACATATTAAATTATAAATAAAAAATGTGTCGTAATTCCGTTTTGCATTTTGCAAAATTACAACATTTTGTATTTAGTTACATGCTATTGAAATTATTAGATTACATAATTAATTGAAATTAATATCAATTAACCATGATTTTAGTTAAAAACAATATTATTGTGATATTTAAATATTACAATATTAAATGTAGCTAAATATATTTGATTTCAAAATTAGAATTATATACAATTAAATCAATATAATTTATAATATAAAAATATTTTAAAATTATGTAATCAAAATTATATGATAATAATAATAATAATAATAACAACAATAACAATAATAAAAGGCTTGTACAGCTTAGGAGCTTGCCGTGGAATTTTCCATTATACAAACTAGCAGTTAAAAAGATAAAGAAAATAAAAATAAAGGACAGGCAAAAACAGAATCAAACCTCTACCTAAGGTCGTCTCTCGCTGTCGCAGCACTCTTTTCGGATACCGTATTCCTCTTTTATCGATCTTTCCGTTCCGCCGCTAGAATCGGCCAAGCGTCGCCATTCTTTATATTTGTAGTCGTTTAAGCATACGTGTAAATTTACTATGCACATAAAAAATTTTATGCCACGATAACTTAAACGGAACAAATCTAGTAAAACCCTCCCGCAAAAACAATGTACAGAGGCTCCTCGAAGCTTGGCCGCGGTGGAGGAGGCGGACGTGGGGGCAGAGGCCCTCGGAATCGTTCTTCATTCCCTCCGGCGCCGCCACACCGCCCTTCTTCCGCCACCCAATCAGGTAGGCTTTCCCTTGGCTCCGCCCCTCGTAACCGCCCCGGTATTGGGGGCGGTTCAGGACCCGCACCGTCTGTTGAAGAGAGCTTTTCGCTTGTTTCTGGGAACAATCCGTTGGCTTTCGCGATGATTATAAGGTTGGCGCCAGATTTGGTGGAGGAGATCAGGCGGCTCGAGGCTCAAGGAAAGACTGCCAGGATTAAATTTGATTCAATTCCAACTCACCCTACTGGGAATGTGAGTTTTTAAACAAGAATTCGATTGGGTTTTCTCATTTTTAATTTGTTTTGCTATTTATTTCGAACTGTGTTTTCTCCCTCGAATTTGGAAATATTATAAGATGAAAGTAGTGGGATAATTATCCTTCTTGGTTTGAGTTCATCTGGATCAAGCCTAATTTTTATTTCTTGAAATGTACTTTGATGATCTAGGGGGTGGTAATATTATGCGGGTTGATCAAAAATTTGTACCGGTTTAGCTTAAATTTTGTTAATCTTGAAATGTTTACAATGCTTGTTTTAAATTTGTGGAGTTTTAGTTTATGATTTTGCATTTTAGGGTTATTTTTAACTAGCTATCATTTGGTACACTGAATTTTGGTTTGGGTGTAACTATGACAACTTTGTGTGGTCACGCTTTTAAAGTTCTTAGTTTCCTACTGATTATGGGAGTGTTAGTTACTTGATAGGATTTTCAACCTAGTTTAGCTTCAAATTGGGTGACTTAATGAGGTAGGTTGTGAATTTTGTTATGGTGATTGTAAATCAAATTCTGTTATTTTATAGAGATTCTTTTTGGTGGTTTAATGGAAGATGTATAAGGTAGCTTGCCCGATAATGCTGAGTTTGCTTGTACTTTTATCTCGGTGTATGTAGTATTTTTTTCTTGTAGAATTATATGGGGGAGTTGGGTCTATTTAGTTTGTGTATTCCCTACAATGTCTTGAGTTCACTCTGCCGTAATATTTTTTCCTGAAATGTTTATATATTCAACCTTAATAGACTTTCATTGTTGGTAATTTTTAATATATGGTTATTTAGCTTTCGTTTCTAAATTATGCAGGAAATTCTCATAATTAATTAATGACCCAAAGAATGATATTGTAGTTAACGACTTGGATTACGGAAAATTGGTTAAAGCCTCAGAGTTTTGTTAATTTTCTTTGAGATTCTATGATAAAAATCTTGATTTGATGTTATATTTTTGGTATGATAGATAGTTAATGACTTGGAGAACAAAAAACCAGTTTAGGGCCCAAGAGTTTTGTTCTTTTTTTTGAGATGTTGCTACACTAAGAATCCTGATTTTATATTCTATTCTTATTCTGAACTAATGATTGTTCCCATTATTTGTTGAGACTTTTGGAGACAAATTGCAAGTTTTTTTTTCAGTGTTCGGCTCTCTTTTGGTTAAACTTACATTTGTAACTGGGCTGTTAATTACTAAGAACTGCGGATTTAATTTATTGTAGGTAATTGATGTTGGCGGTAAGGAGTTTAGGTTTACATGGTCACGGGAATTTGGTGATCTGTGTGATATATATGAAGAACGTCAAATGGGGGAAGATGGAAATTGTTTGCTTGTTGAATCTGGGTGTGCATGGCGCAAATTGAATGTTCAACGTGTCTTGGATGAATCAATCACGAATCAAGTTAAGATGCGGTCAGAGGAAGCTGAACGCATGCATAAATCACGCAAGTATGTCATCTGGATGGTTTTCTAATTTTCATTATCTGCCTAAGCATGCATATTTGGTTCCCATTTCTCTAATTTACCTTTTTTTTATGTGCTCTTAAATTGATCCAGATTAAATACATATTCCGCTATGGTTGGTTATAAAAGTAGATGTTCTCTTAGGCGTTAGCAAATAACATGGTGTTAGTAATACGCAATCTGTAAAAAGATACCTCTTGACATTTCGTTTGCTTGTTAATTCACCACATTAGTTGCTACTTTTGTTCTTGCTTAATTTAAGAGTGTCTAGCTGGTTTACGGTTTCTGCATCTGGAGTTTCCTTTGTTACTATTTAGCTAGTTTATTTAGCTGTTTTTTGGTAAATAGTACTGCCCCTTTTGTGGAAACCTCCTAAAATAGTTTAAAACTCGGGACATTAAAGTCTCCACATCCATGTTTATTAATGAAATTTGGCTGAAATTTAATAATCTTCTAAACCAGCCTTTTTAGCACTGCTAGATCTCTCGCTTCAAATACTGACAGCTTTGTGAGAACCTGAAGAAACAGTAATTAGGTATTGTTATGCATATAGGTATTGTTATGCATACATTCAATTTACGGGTCCCTTCTTTATGTTATAATGAATGCACCGAAGTGATGTAGGCAAGCCAATTCCTGGAAAAGCAAGCATTACATTATCTTGAGAGTTCTTCAGATCTCCTCTTCTGATAGAGACCCATCATAATTTATAAATCATTATAAAATCTGAGACCGTCCATTACATTAGATGTTTCTCACATTGAAGCTTGCCTTCCATGTTTCAGTTATAAAAATAATAGCCTCAATCCATTCATCAGTCTCAAATCAATATCAATAAGTTTGGTACAAACAACCATCTGATCTTTGAAATTCCCTTGTAAACTATTGTTTGTCAGACCTGATTATTTTCATAATAGTAGCATATATAATTCTTCTCACTGCTTATTTTGAAATCAGAATTGCTAAAGTTTCACCATTCTATCTTTCACAGTATTTCTAATGTTTAGGTGTTTTTTTACTATTCAGAATGGACACTAGCTGAAAAAGAACATTCAGAAAGAAGTGCATAACGTTCAATATTACCTAGACAAGTCACAATATTAGAAACTCTTCTAATGAGAAGCTCTTTGTTATGCTGAAATTACCATTTCTTAGTTTGTATTAGAAATTTGGATTCTTCTCGTTGATTATGTTTCATGAAGTGATGAAGAAACTCTGGTGGTCTGGCCTTTCAATATATCTTTTATGTGGTTCTTTTTATTGATTTTTTTGTAAATATTTTATGATGCTACGCTCTTATGTTCTTAGTCACTTTTGTTAATAGGGCTAAGTTTATTGTTTTCATCTTTTCCTTTTTTCTGTTGATGATAGAGCCATTATATTAGACCATGGAAACCCATCTATGAAGAATCAAATCAAGCAACTAGTTGCTGCTGAGGGTAAGTTTTTCTTAATGATATTGTGTTTGCACCCCAACTCTCTATCTTAATCCATACACTGCATATTCTTGTGTTTTCCGACATATAGAATGCCTCCAATGTAATAAGCATCACTACAAGGGAATGTTTGGACTAAGTTCTATTTAAGATCTATTCCCTTGTATATTTTCTTAGAATGTATACTCATGAAATTTTCTTTTGGGTAAACATACATTTTGGTAATTGAACTTAGCTTCAAAGTTCAATGTGGCACCTGAATTTTTTTAGTCCAATTAGGTACTTGAGCTTGAGTCGGGTTATACAAGTTATCCCAAACTGTAACACCATTAAAATTCTTAAGGGTTAAGATTTAAAGTGGTAAATGACTTGGTCTTTTGGTTCAAATCAGTACTTATGATTTTTTAAACACTTTGATCCAAGAAGCCAAGTTCAGGTGGCAATTTGATCCAAGAAGCCAAGTTTAGGTACCAATTTGAATCTTAACCCTTAGTCCCTTACAATTGTTAATGGTGTTGTATTTTGGGGTCACTTGTATAACAAATTCTAAGTTCAAGTACCTAATTAGTTCAGGTGTCAAATTGAACCTCGAAGCCAAGTTTGAGTACCAAAACATAAATTTACACTTTTCTTTTTGTGGCCCTAATCCTATGATGCCTGTGTTATCAAGATGATATAGTGAAGTTGCTTGTTCAATCATGAAATCCTTTAGTAATGAGGATGATTCTTCTTATGTGTATTTTTAGCCTTGGTCCTCACTCTCTTTAGGGAAACAGGATTTGCTTGCACAATACCTACTAAAAGATAATAGATGAAAGATCCCATTGAAAATATTTTCACTGAAAGTAATTGTTGGCAGAGAAAATTTAAGATTAAAAGATGTCAATTTCTGAAAATGGATGTTCACTGTCTTATTTCCCTTGTGTTTGCAGCTAGTCCATGGAAGTCCCATTTTAAAAAGAAGGAAATTGCTTTTAAGAAGCGTAAAGTTGACACACCTCAAGGTAATAATTTGGATTTCATATATCTAATCGAATATGAAAATCACTTTTTTCTTTTTTGTTTCTTTTGCATAGTGTCTCCAAAAATTAATATGTGGGAGATATTGAGATTATACTTTAATTAGTAGCAGTTTGGCAGTTCCTTTCGCTTCTGTTTACGTTTCTTGACAAGTTTTATTGAAATGTATGTATGCACCAGCTGCAGTTGTAGCCCCTACAAAATCTAGCTTTAAATCTGGATTAATTTCGGCTGCTACTGCAAAGGGAAGACGCTCATCTTCACCTTTACCATCTCCGCCTGAGCGCTCTGGTGCTGCAGCTTCCCCAGTTGGAATTGGAAATACCACCAAGACTCATACAAGCAGTGAGGATGCTATTCCTCTGCAGGTGAAAAGCAAAGAAAACATTTCCAGCTCTGAGAAAGAAATACTAACCAGGGCTACTAGTGTAGTACGTGAGATGCAAGAGCGTAGGGGAAATTTTGGACCTAAACCAACAGACTTGCAGAGTCTTCTGATCAGTCTACTGAAGGAGAATCCCAAGGGGATGAGTTTAAAGGCAAGATATATGGGTTGAGTGGATGTTTTAAATTAATTTTCCCTCTTTTGCTACTAGGGCATGCGATTGGCTTTAGGCTGTTTATGTTTTGGATCATTTTATCTCTTAGCCTCTCTCTCTCTGAAATGGTGACAGGCCTTGGAGAAAGTTGTTGGTGATACAATACCAAACTCTGCACGGCAGATTGAGCCTGCTTTAAAAAAAGTAAGTGATGGATCTTTGATGCAGAGTATTTTTAAGAATAGCATGTAAGCTTATGGCTTCCTTTAATTTTGTGCATTAGATTGCAACTTTCCACGCTCCAGGAAGGTATTTCTTGAAACCAGGAGTGGAGTTGGAAAGCTCAAAAAAATCTTTGTCTGAAAGTGGAAGGTACTAGTCATTTTCATTTCCAGTGGGTTTGATTGAGCCATTGTAATTGAATTGATCTCTTGTCATTTCTTATTGAGCTCTATATTTCATGATTTCTTATTCTCATCGTATGACACAGAACAAGATTTTAATGGGAAAATAACTTTAACTAAGCTTTTCCCTATATCTTTTTTTTGATAAGAATTTTAGGCCTCATTAAAAAACCCCTTCTTGATTAATGGATCTTTTTAAGAAAGCTCCTTAATCAGCGGAAGGAGGAAAAGAGTGCCTTAGAGGTATATTAATCATAAATAGAGTACACAGGATACAACCAGAAAACACACTTAAAACATAACCACATAAGATCGTAAACACAAAAATAACCAGACTTCCCTTAAACATCAAAACTAACACAACCCCTAAACATCGAAACACCACCAATAACCTACAAAGAAACCTCTAACACAAACAAAACAATTCATCCAATCCCCTGTTTGGCCAGAGAATCCGCCTCACAATTGCACCTCCTCGATATGTGTCTTACAATGATCTGCCTGTCCAAAACAAGAGAGACAATTTTTCCCACCATCAAACTAAAAAAAAGAGGGGATGAAGTTGGCTGCTTAATCCAATCCACTACTGCTTTGCAATCACTCTCTACTATTAACCTTCCCTTCATCGCCCACTCCGACGAGAGAAAGAAATCAATGCCTTTCTCCATGGCTTTCAACTCGACCAATGGAGGGGGACCTGGACCAACAACACTCGAAAAAGACCCTAGGACTTTGTTGTTCGAATCTCTTAAAATTCCCCCAATTCCCCCCAACAACCCATCCCCACTGACTGCCCCATCAACGTTAACCTTGAAAAAATGAACTGGTGGAGGACTCTAACCCTGAAACTTCAATTTAATGGGTGCCTTATTCTGAAACTTGTCTACAATAGTAGGGTCCCCCACAAGGGAGTCAACTTGAATAAAGACATTCGGATGCTTAGCCAGAAACCATTTAGCCAATCTAAATCTGCAAATGAAAGATAGATTAGAAACATCCAACTTCCAATTCTCAAAAACCACCAAGTTTCTAGCCTTCCAAACTGACCATAGAACAACTCCCGGTATAAAACTCCATATTCGAGAATTTGGCCTCAGGTCAGACCAGGAACACAGCAAGGAAAGAGGATCTTTAGGCAGGACAGACGCGATATCCCATAACCTTAAAAAACTGCTCCATAAGTTTCCTGCAACCGAGCAGGAAATGAAAAGATGCTGAACTGTTTCATCTTGCTTTGAACACAGCGGGCATAAAACCTCCTCCAAAGTAACTCCTCTTTTAATCAACTCCGTTCTAACCGCTAGTCTTTGATGTGAAACTTGCCACAGAAATGTTTCAACTCTTGGAGGAGCCATTCCTGACCAAACGAACCTTTTCCAATTAAACTGACCCCCTGAGTAGGATGAAAGAGTCAACCTACATGCTTTAACCGAGAATAAACCATCTCCCTTCCCCGACCAAGACAGAAAATCATCCACCGTATCAGACAGAACAACATTCTCCAGCAGAGACATAAGTTGAATCCAATAATCCAGTTCCCAATCACATAAATATCTTCTCGTTGGAATATTCCAGACCCATTTGTTATTCACAAGACAGCCAAACTCTGAAACTTTTCCCCACTTGTTATTCGAGAGAACATAAATCCTTGGAAATTGATTCTTTAGAGACTCCTCATTTATCCACACATCATGCCAAAATTCAATAGACTTACCATTTCCCAATTGAAACTTCGTGTGGGATCTCAATCCTTGTCCAATTGTGTCATCTTCAAGATAATTCTTTGTAATACCCTTCCAAATCCATGAGTCCGAAGGAGAGCATACCTTAGCAATAGCTAGGGACAGATTATTCACATTAAATTTGCTACACATCATATTTTTCCAGAGGGATTCCTTTTCATTCGCAAACTTCCAGACCCATTTGCCTAGTAACACTCTGTTAGCAAATTTGAGATCCAAGATTCCCAAACCTCCCTCCTCGAGGGGTTTACATACCCTCTCCCAATTCACCCAGTGAATTCGACTTGTAGAAGAACCTTCCCCCCACAGAAAGTTAGACATTAGTGAATTTAACTTCCTATACACCTTACACGGAATTCTGAAAATAGAGAGGAAGAAAATCGACATTGAGGACAACTGATTTTATCAACACTAATCTGCCCGCCATTGACAGTGTTGCTGCTTTCCAACCTGACAGTTTTTTGGAAAAACCTTGGATGACCGGCTCCCATAGAACCTCTGAATTTCTCTTTGCACCTAAGGGTAGGCCTAGATACACTGTGGGAAAAACACCCACACCACATCCAACCTTCATTGCCCATTCATTTAATATTTCGTTCTCCACATTGATGCCATACAAATTGCTCTTGGACAAATTTAAATGCAGCCCTGTCATTATACTAAATATCCTTAACACTCTCTTAATATTCAGAATATAAGTAGGGGAATCACGGCAAAACAAAATCAAATCATCAACAAACTGTAGATGGGTTAGATTAAATGAATCCGATCTTCCAATAGTGAAACCTTGAAATAGTCCCAAGTCAGCCGCTTTGCTTAACATAAGATTAAGAAGTTCCCCCACTATGTTGAACAATAAAGGGGACAAACTACACCCTTGTCTCAACCCTTTACCCATCGAAAACTCCTCAGTTGGGGAGCCATTCACTAACACCGAGATAGACGCCGTGGAAAGGCAACATTTTATCCAAGAGACCCATTTCTCTCCAAAGCCCATAACCCTCATTAATCTGAAGATAATTGGCCATTCAACCGAGTCATAAGCTCTCTGAAAATCAGCTTTGAACACCACCCCTTTCAGCCCTAGCTTCCTCCAATATTCTATGCCTTCGTTTGCTAGAAAAGCACAATCTAAAAGTTGTCTACCCGGAATAAAAGCAAACTGAGAAGGGCTCACAATATCTTTAATCACTGACACTAATCTCTTCGATAAAACTTTGGATACGATTTTATAGAGACAGCCCACAAGACTTATAGGTTGGTAATCTTCAATACCTTCCGGGTTGATTTTCTTAGGAATCAGAGAAATAAAGGCGTGATTTACCCCATGATCCCACTTCCTCCCACGGTAGAAATCATACATAAACTTCATTATTTGCACCTTAAGAGACGGCCATAATTTCTTTAAAAAACCCATCGTAAAGCCATCGGGCCCTGGAGCTTTGGAACTGTACGAGGAGAAAATAACATCCCTAACTTCCTCTTCTGAGAATTTAGTCTCCAAGAGGTTCCTTTGATCAACTCTCAACTCTGCAAACTTCAAATTCAGTTCCTCTACCTCCAAAATATCTTTGGAATTATAAATCTTCTTAAAAAATTGAGAGACATAAGCTTTAATCTGATCCGGATCTTTCAGCTCCTGACCAACCACTCTCAAAGCCGAAATGGTGTTAATTCTGTTTCTGTTAATAGCACAAAGGTGGAAGAACCTAGTATTTCTATCACCATCTTTGATCCACTTCGCCCTCGACTTTTGGAACTAAATACTTTCTTCAATCCTGTGCATTTTCCAAAGCTCCTTTCTTGAGGTTAAAAGCTGTTCCCAGTCATAATTAGAAAGCCCGCCGCCTTGCGCCTTAACTTCCAATCCATTAATTTTATTCTCCAACACTGATAGATTCTGAAATCCCCTCTTTACTTCTGATTGGCCACTCCTTGATTCGTTTTTTTGCACCTAGTAGCAGATTAAAAAGCCCTCTTCCCCCTCTACTTACGACCGGATCTGTCAAAGCATTATGGACCATGTCTGCAAAACCTTCTTCCTCCAGCATATAATTAAAAAGGCGAAAAGGTTTAGGTCCCCAATTTTTCCCATCTACAACTATTTTTTTTATAGAAGTTGGAGGTCTCATTAAAAACTCCCTTCGTATTCGTTCACATACTAAAGGTATGTTAACGAACATTGGAAGGAAGAAAAGAGTACCTCAAATATTATTGATAAAATACCCGATACAAAAGATACCACAGAATATCCTCTCATGGTGATGTACACCATTACAACAAACACCTTAACCTCATATGACCTCATCCAAAGCCACAGTCAAATCACCTTACTTCTAATTACACCACCAGCAGTAGGAATAAAACAGAACATAATACAAATTAAAAGCAACACCTACAACCATATAGACTAAAACAACCACAATTGAAGAGACAAGATCTAATGAGACTCGTCTTCTTCAGGAGCCAAAGAGTTTGGTTTGAATGAAGGTTCTATCTCATGCACCATGACCTTGAAGAAGTTGTCAGCAACCTTTAATTCCACCATCGCATCAATTCTCGCATCAGCCTTTGTGAGGACTTGAATTTTTGCCCGATCAAAGGATGATGGAGACTGACAACTTTCGTCGATAGCTAGTAATAAATCCCACTTATAAGCAATGTTCTTGAAAGTATCCCAATTCCATGTGTGAAAAAGAACACCCTCGCAAACTAACCATACTCGACGACACTCCATTACCAAACTCTCTGACCAAGCTTCGACTATGGAGAACCACTCTGCGAGAATCTTTGATTTATCGTTCTTCACGCTTCTCAATGAAGCATTGTCTTCAAAAATCATTAAAATCGCATTACTAGCAGCTCTCATTAAGGTGAAGCCAATGAGGCCCTTCGCTTGCATTTGTCTGGCGAGATGACCAATTTTGACAAAGTCCTTGCACCACCCCACTAGACAATTGCTCAACACCTGAAGTTTTTCTTCATCTATAACACCTTCAACTTTATAATGATTCTTCCTTGAAACATCTTCCATCCCGGACTTGCGAAGAACACCTGTCTAGGACTTTCTCCAAAAGGACTGTCGAGGTTTGAATTTAGCAAAATAAACACCAATTTTGCTTCCGTCGATATGAGAACCATTCAATTTTGAGATCGCTCTCCTTGTTTCATCGAAAGTTGCGAAGCCAATGAAACCAAAGCGAACTCCTTTTGAATTTCTTTTATT